GTTATTTTATGGTGGGGTGGGGGGGAGACTTGAAGCCTATTTAAAGTGAGCCTGTGATGATTATGCACATTACCAGAGGCGGTGGGCGGGGCGGGCAGCTGCGGAGCTGGCACAGAGCTGAGGCGCGGCCACTGCTCTGCCCCATCCGCCTATGCACATTACCTTGTTTCATTACTTTCTCATGTCATTTTTTATCCCAAAAATTATTTTTTAAAAGTAAAAAAAAAAAGACATATCAAACATGCAAATACTTGAACCCAGCAGGCCAATACCGAAATGTGAACACTTCCACGTCGACATCTGTGCACAGAAACAGGCTCTAGGAAATGTCTACGCTCATAGCCTACGTGTGCGTGTGTGAGTGTGCTTGTGGAGCAGTGTGTATGCACGCGTGCTCATGCACGATTAGTGCTAGCTGTGTGCGCATTTGAGTGTGTGTGAGGGATTTAACTGTGGGTTTCCCTTTATTCAGTATATGCTTTTTTTTTTTTTTTTTTGGCGCGTTGGTCAGATGTTCTCACTGTTCTTCGCTTCTGACTTTGCACTGAGGCGTCTCTGCCCTCCCTACAGCTAACCCTAAACAGTAAAGAGAACTCACGGAGAGGGCTGGTGACAATTCATGTGTAAATGTTTACTCAAGGACTCTGTTATTGCATTTAAAGTTACAGTGTATATCTCTGGAGAAATAATATGTCTATCTACCTTTAGCAGCTTTTCATTGTGGACTAATGCAAGAAGATTATTACCAGAGTATTGCACCATTTCCCATCTGGAATATAAAGTTAAAGAGAAAACAAAACTGTTGTTGAACTGTGGCCATAGATACTTGTAGAGAATGGGTGTCCCGCACGGAGCGGAACAAGCACTTGGACTTGGGTTGTGACTGCTTTTGGAGGAGCTGTGGTTTGGGCTCCCACCTGTTTACAGACCTTTTCTCTCCTTCAGACTTTAAAATAAAAATTTTAAAAAAATTTTAAAAATTTAAAAGGAATAAAAAAAAAAAAGACTTCCATCGTAAAAAAAAAAAACAAAACAAAAAACAAGCAAACAAAAACCTATTTTCAGAATGCAGATGTGTTACTTCAGAGCTCTGGGATGGGGCGTGCTGGGACGTGCTGTTCCCCTCCAGCCATCATGGACTCTGTCGGTTGACTTCACCCTCCTCAAGGTGACGAGGCATTGTGGTCTCTGTCTTGCACATGCCGGCTAGCTCTCAGGAAAGCCAGGGCTCCCGGGGGCAGCTCCACACCATTTCATGTATTTTTAAACCCGACTCCTAGCACTGAAGATGTTATTTAAAAAAAGAAAAGAAAAAAGAAAAAAAAAGAAAAAGAAAAAAAGAAAAAAAACCACACACACAAAGAAGAAAAATACCTAATCTCTAATGTGTAGCAGTTACATATTTACCAAATAATGGACTCAAAAGAAATAGATGTTTGAAGAGTGCTTTATATATTAAAAATTGCTTTATGTTTTAAAAATGATCAATGTTTTGATTGTTTTGCAAGGAAGAAAGACAATGAAATAACACACCCTCAAGTATGTTTTAAAAAAATATATGAACATTGTACTCCCTGCCTATGTGGTCAGGAAACTTGTGCATTACATTTTTTAATTAGCTTTTTAATGGTTTTATCAAAACAAGGAAGAAAGCAAGTCCTGCAGGATCACAGAGAAACGCTGGTTTTCTAGAGGATCGTGAACTATGCACAACTGGGTTCATCATGTATCCCACGGAACGGCCCTCCTCAGAGTGACTGCATCTCATCGTCATTACATGCGTCCTAGATATTTGATGTATGTATACCGAGTATGTGTATCAAATACGGTGCGTGTGCGTGCGTGTGCTCCCAGACGTGCAGCTTGCCATGCTGCCATTTAGCACTGAGTTGTAGAAAAACTCCTAATGTTTTAAAACTGGGGATGGAAGTAAAGGATGTTTGCAGTTTTTGTGGGTCCCCCCCTTTTCCTTTTTTTGTTTTTGAACCTTTTAAATTTAAAATGTCTCTGACTCTGAGATTAATAGAAAGAGTCTGTGGCGCTTAATGCCCCTCCTCATGGAATGTGGTGGTTGGATGCACACCGGAGGTTGCTTTCAAAAATACAGCGCTTTGTTGAGTCTTAATAAACTGCGGTTTTTCTTGGCTATTCGCTATTGCTGGGTCTTTTCATCTGTAAGAGGCGGGGCTTCCTTTTTCACTTGGTGTGGAGACAGCCTACTGTGTTGCTGAGTTTACATTGGTTCCTGGCTAAACTTACAGTCTTGGCTGTTGGACTTGAAGCTGTAGCCTTGCTATTTGGTTTTGCTGAGACTATGCGAATCCTGTCAGTAGCCACTAGGAGGCATAACAGCTTCCAAGTCCTTCTGTCCTAACTGAATTGGATGCCTCTGAAGATCAGTGTTGCCCAGACCAGCACTGGGTGGAGCCAGGGGCTACAGGTTCTCCCTGAGCCGCCACCCCACACTCATTGGCACATGCCCGGTACAGGCATTGAGAGAAACCAGAGGCAGGGGTGTAGCTCGGTTGTAGGGCCTTTGTGTGCGGGCCAGAGGCTCCACCCCCAGAGCTATCTGGAGAAAGCACAGTGGTGTGCATGCCTGTGGTCCCAGCACTCGGGAGGCTTGAGTAGCCCTGCCTGAGTTCAAGGCTCAAGACCGTACCTGGCAACGCAGCAAGACCCCCACTCAGAACAGAAAAAGCAATCATGTGCTTCTCAAGTGCTTTGTGGATCTCTGCCCCTAAAACCGCATTGGCCAACATGCACGAAACAGCAGCATTGTCAGCAGGCTCGCCAGGGCCACTAGGTCAGCTCCCCCTCTAGTGTGTGTGCCTCCTGAGGATGAGTCCTGGCCTCCCACAGGGGACTCACAGGAAAGGAGGCAGCTGCCAGCTCTGCTGAGCGCATCACCAAAGGGGCCCCGGCCTCGTGGAACCCAGAGACCAGAGGAAGGAGGAGACTCGGGATGTCAAGCCGCCCTTGGCCTCCCCGCAGCCTCCAGCTCTGCGGGCCAGAACTTCCGCAGGAGAGCAGACCAGGGCTAGCCTAGGAGCTGCCGTGGCAAAGAAGCAATGGCTAGAGGACCGTGCCTGCGTCTGGGAGGCGCCGGTGTCAGCCTTCCGGTGCCTTCAAGACTTCCAGGGAATGAAGAGTGGGTTTTGTGGAGGTGGCACCCTCCCTGGACACCGAGGCTGAGTTGGATTTTGACAGCGAGGACCAGCAGTAAAGGCGTCGTGGGCCTGGACTGGATGAAGCAGGCCTGGTGTCAGTGATCAGGAAGCAGAAGGCTTGGAGCTACCCTACCACAACACTGTTGTGACAAGACCGTGGCACAGCCCTGGCGACAGCCACAGTGGTGGCATGAGCAGGGAATGCCTGCCTGCAGAGGTGGGCAAGCCCGGCTGGAGGCGGGACACAGGTGGGAGCTGCTGTGGCCTGGCCCAGGCTGGGTGAAGCAGGCAGACAGTGGTGGCAAGGGGTAGCCCAAGAAGCTGCTTTGCAGCCTCAGTACTAACAAAGACCCAGAGGGCCAGGATGAGCCAATGCTTCTCTGAGTCCCCGCTGATAAACGGCACCCTCACACGCTTGCTCGTCTCCCTGAGTTCTGCCAACTCCACCCCTGGGAGTAGCCTTCAGCTGAGATGACAGATAACCCCAGATGGCACCCAGAGCAGTTCTCTGTCTTGGCCTCTTAGAATTGCCCGGAAATGTAAAATCTTAGTGCCTGGCCAGTGAACTCCTTCAGGGTCTGTGGGGCAGCAGAGGTGCAGGTGGTTTCAGATTCTGGGTGCTCCCGGTGTAGCCACAGTCAAGCAGCAGTGGCAACATTGGGGAGCTGCAGGCAAAGGATCAGGACTTGAAAGTCATCCTTGGCCAGCATGGATGACATGAGACCCACCCCCACAGACACACACACACTGGAGTTCTGTATTCAGCGTACAACGCTACCATCTCAACACAAGTTTGCAGTTTCCAAGTTGGGCCGATTTCATTTGCCAGTGACTGCTAACTCCTCCTCCTCCCTTTCCATGCCTGCAGTATAGCAATGAGGGTAGCTTTGTAGTGGAGCCCGATGGTTAGACACGATGCTAGGTACTCCCAGGTCCCGAGGTAAGGAGTGGAGGTCAGGAGAGACAAGTCGTGGCAGCTGGGTGCTGGCTGCCTCTGCCCCTTGCACAGTGCTTGGGGTCACCCCGTACCTGGGTCTGGGCTGACAGAGAACCATGCTGGTGATTCCGTGAAACACCCTGGTGTGTCCTGACCATGTGAGACACACAGCGCTGATGACAATAAAAGTCGTCATCCACTGGCGTCTTCATTTAGCGCAGAGCCCAGGTTGGTTAGGATACCTGGAGTACTCATGGGGACTGGAGACACACAGCATCACTGTCCAGCCCAGAGCAACTATGACAGCTTAGAAACTCTGCTGAGACACCCGGTTTAGTGTCACAGGAGCCTTCCATGGGGCTGGCCTTAGGTATGGCACCGGGCCAGCTGGGAGATGGCCAGTGCCCAGCACTGCTGGCATGTCTGGACCCCAGGTGACTCCCCCCAAAACTGCAGCTAGTGAAGTGGGCTGCTGTGGCTGCTCAGTTTCAGGAGAGGCCTACAAGCTGCTATAGCTCAGCCCACCCAGGGCGTCTCAGCCCACCCATGGCATCTTAGCCCACCCATGGTGTCTTAGCCCACCCAGGGCGCCTCAGCCCACCCATGGCGCCTCAGCCCACCCCGTCCACCTTCGCCTGGGTGCTGCTGGACCCTCTAAGGGGTCTCACCCGAAGGAAGCATCAAGTCACCCCTTAGGAGTCCTCCCCTAGATCCGCCCTCCTCTTCTGCCCACGTAACATCACCACTGATTGGTTTCTCACCCTGGGCACAGCCAGGCCCTTCGTCTTGCCCAAGGGAATGCGGCCCCTTCCTCTCTGCCATCCCCATGGAGGCCTAGTGGGTGCCAGTCACCTGGCAGGAGCAGGTCACAAGCTCATCCCAAAACAAACCCGTACTGCAAAACCATTTAATCAGAGTTTAAAGAAAAAGAAAAGTTGGTGGCACATGCCTTTGATTCCAGTACTTGGCAGGAAGATCTCTGAATCCCAGGCCAGCCTGGTCTACATAGTAAACTCATGACAGCCAAGGCTGTGTAAATAGATCCTGTCTTTAAAAAGAAAAAGAAGAAAACATTAAAATCCCAGGGGAAGGGAGTCCCAGGTAGGACAGGGTCCCTTGGGGAACCCCCACATCCTTGCCCCATCGTCACCTCAAGGAGTTTATGGAAAGTCACTCCACTGCTGGGTCCTGTGGGGACCTCAGGTCCAGGTCTCTGCGTGTAGGGTCGTGGTGACTGGGGTTACAAGGTTCCTCCTGGGTTCTGCCAGGCCTGCCAGAAAGGAGAGTCAGGGTAACCCAACCAACACGAAAGCCCCTCCAACTTGTGTGGCTGGGGACTCGGTGGATGCTCTGTGTCCCAAGTGACACCTGTCTGGCCTCCCAAGATGGCAGAGTAGCTCAAAGAAGCACCAGGGATTACATTCCAGGAACTGGCCACTTTTGTGACCCAAAACTGTGTAGCGGGTCCCCTCAGTAAAGGCCTGTACAGTCCCCTCAGTAAAGGCCTGTCATCAGTATGAGGACTCAAGGAACACAGCACGTATACCAGCCATGAGGACCACGTGGAGGGAAACTGCAGGCTCTACAAGGCACAGAGCCAGGGCTGTGTGTCTCTGACCTTGAGGTCCCCTACAAGACAGCCTGAGGTCCATGACTGGATGTTCTGAGATGCCTCCAGTGCAGGACATGAGCCTCACTGGTCAGCAGAGAGGAAGGAGCCCTGGTAGTTGCAGCGGAGAACCTACAGGCATGGTCTGGGGGAAACAAGCCTCAAACCGCCAGGGAAGGGCGGGCCTCCGCATGGGTGTGGCCACTCAGCAGGGAGAAGTTCTCCCTGTTGCCAAGGTCACTATAAAACTGCTCTGTGAGCCGGGCGGTGGTGGTCCACACACACCTTTAGTCCCAGGACTCGGGAGGCAGAGGCAGGCGTATCTCTGTGAGTTCGAGGTCAGCCTGGTCTACAGAGTGAGTTCCAGGACAGCCTCCAAAACAATACAGAGAAACCCTGACTCGAAAAACCAAAGGAAAAAAAAAACCTGGTCTGTGGAGCTGGAGAGATGGCTGAGGTTAAAGGCTCTTGTTGCTCTCTCACAGAACCCACCTGGGGATCTGATGCCCTCTGACCTCCACAGGCACACACGTGGTGCACAGACACGCAAGCAAAGCAGCACCCATAACACCTCAGTGACGCCTGAGCGTGGCCCTCCTTCCCTGTGGGCGTCCTGGCAGCTCACAGCCTGCTTCTCAGCAGCCCCCGTCCCGTCCCGTCCCGGTTTTAACTGGAATAGCTGGACACTGACCCCTGGAGCCCCGCAGTGCCTCACCAAGGAAGCCCCACTGTAACGGGAGCCACTTTACCCTGCCCTCCTTCCGCCCGCCCGTTCACACCAGCCTCCCCTACGTCACCTGCTCCGCTCCCCCTCCTCGTAAACAGAGTGAAGCCTGTTGATGAGGAAGACCTTGTCCTCGCCCTCCTGGAAAGGTCAGAGCGAGCACAAACGTGAGAAAAGAGAAGCTGCCCATCCCTCCGTCCCAGAGCTGGCCTCATCTAGACTTCCTGTGGAGCTCACGTGGGAGTTCAGTATGGCAAGACACAGAGTTAAGAGTTCCACGCCTTAGCTCTCAGCGCAGGAGGCCGAGGCAGGTGGATCTCTGTGAATGCGAACTGGTTTCTGTAGCAAAATCTGGGCCAGGCAAGGCTACATGGTAAGACCAGTCTCAAAAATCAGAAAGGTCCAAGAGAAAGGAAAAAGAGAAGCACACTTGTGTCTAAGCCTAGTAATGAGGTAAAATGGAAATGTCACTGGGAGAGCCTATGTGCCAGCCCAATGCAATTTCAAAGTGCCCCTGCCCCTGACAAGCCTGCCCCACCCCACCCCCATTCCTTTCTCCTGTGAGAAAGGGCCTCAGGAAACCCAGACTAGACTCAAGCTCACGTAACGGAATGACCCTGAAGCAGCCCTCAGTTGCTGCAATCACAGGTGTGCACCACACCTGGCTCCGTCTCCTTAATGTGTGCTGGGTCCTGACGGTTTCGTGTTTCCCACACCTAAACCACACAGCAGGCTGCCTGCCCACTCCATCCCAACCTCTTCATGGCTGCCGTCTCTCTGCTTAACCCCAGTCACTCAGAAGGGGCTCAAACTAATCCCAGTTCTCTATCTCAAAAACAAAAACCAGGGCTGTGGAGATGGATCTGCAGAAAAGCTCCCTGAACCCACAAAGAATGGGAGAGCCAACTCCACACCCCTTTAACCCCAGCACTCCACAGGCAGAGGAAGAAGGGCCAGCCTGGTCTACAGAGCAAGCTCCAGGACAGCCAGGGCTACACAGAGAAACCCTGTCTCAAAAAAAAAAAAGATAAGCTCGGCGTTGGTGGCGCACGCCTTTAATCCCAGCACTCGGGAGGTAGACGCAGGCGGATCTCTGTGAGTTCGAGGCCAGCCTGGTCTACAGAGCGAGTTCCAGGACAGCCTCCAAAGCCACAGAGAAACCCTGTGTCAAAAACAAAACAAAAGATAAAATAAAAATTGGGACTATAGCTCAGTTGGTAAAGGGCTTGCCTGGCATACAGAAGGCCCTAGGTGCAATACCCAGTTCCACATGGATCAGAAATCCGAAGTTCCCCTCAGTACACAGGACAACCTGGGCCACAGAGTGAAACCCTATCTCCAAAAGCAATGGGGACCTGCGTGCCAGGTGCGCACGCGGGTGGCACTCACGTTCCGGATCTGTTCCTTGAGCAGGCGGATGACCTTTCGTTGCCCTTTCACCACCTGGATATTGAGGTAGATGACAGCCCTGAGGGAACGGGGGCTCAGGCTGAAGGCCACTGGCAGGGCCAGCACAGCGCAGGGCACTACCTCAGGCCAGGCTCGCTGCCACCCGCACCCGCAGCACTCACAGCAGCAAGGCCGACACCAGGAAAAGGAAGAAGGTGTTCTCCACCAGGACGTGGTGCAGCCAGGGCAGCCATGAGGCCCCAGAGCCTGCCCGCTCCAGGCGATGCACCCAGACCGTGCCAGCCTCGTACATGGTGTTCAGAGTCCTGAAGGGGCCGCAAGTGCTTGAGGGTTTCACCCTGGAGAACACGGGGGGGGGGGTCAGGAACCCCTGAGGCAACAGTCCCACTCAGCTAGGACAAGGCGCGTCCTGTGTCACCCCAAAGCCAAAGGACCAGGCCCCCACTCACTGCCAGACGGCATAGCAGAGGAAAACGGCTGCGCCCAGGAACGACGGGAAGCAGAGCAGCGTGAGGAAGACCGTGCTCATGTGTGACGCCAACCAGGGGCGGCGAGGCGCCTGGCAGTTGGCCATCAGGCTTGCCTGGGGACAACGGTTGTGATGATTAGTCCGAGGCCACCACACCCTGCCCCCCCATCTCATCCTCTAAGCCTGACTGGATCTAGAATCACCCGGCAGACAAGCCTCCGCGTGCCCCTGTGAGCACTGCCAGACTCCCGTAACAGAGGCGGGAGGACCTCCCTCCCCGCCCCCCCCCCCTCCCATGCCGAATGCTGGCGGCGCCATCCCACCAGCTAGGATCCCAGCCTTCATCCTTGCTCCCTGACTGAGGAAGCCGTGTGACATACTGCCTTTCCAGTCACAACAGAGACAAAGTAACCCAATACAAATGGAGAGGGAAGGGCCAGGTGGACAAGGCTGAGCCCGAGCCCAGGACAGGCAGAGGCGGCACTCTGGATCTATGCGGCCCGTGTATCAGCGTGGTGAGCACACCACCCCAGTGTGGAGGACCAGAAGGCGGCCCAGAGCCAGTGGGGACCAAGGTGCTGTCGTCAGCCCCTGAGCACTCCAAGTGAGGAGACGGGACCCAGAGTCACTCCCAGATGTCCCCGGCCTGCCCAAGATAAGGTTGTCAGGGAGGGGCAGCCCAGTGCCTCTGGCACACACCCTGCTGCCAAGTTACCCTTTTCTTCTTCTTCTTCTTTTTGGTTTTCTGAGATAGGGTTTCTCAGTGTAGCCCTGGCTATCCTGGAACTGACTCTGTAGACCAGGCTGGCCTTGAACTCAGAGATCCACCTGCCTCTGCCTCCCGCTCGCTGGGATCAAAGGTGCCCGCCACCACTCCCAGCTCACCTTCTTGACATAGAACATGAGCAGCAGCCTGAGAATCTGCACTGCGGGCAGGAGCGGCGAGAACAGGACACCCAGCCTGGGGGCGGCGGCAGACGGGGCTGTAAGTGTCCTCAACCCCGCCAGACAGCCACCCACCCAGGACCTCTGCCCCACCCAGGACCAAAAGGCTGCTGCTGTGGCCCAGGGAAGGAAGGCAGTGGCTGACAGCCAGAGGCCCTCACCAGGTCAGGGTCTGCCCGTAAATCAGGTCCAGAACGTTCCGAGCAATGTCAAACTCTGGCTTCTGCCTCCTCTTCAGCTTCTTCTCTGAGATGAGCCTGGACAGAGGAGCCCCTGAGAGACGGGCAGGGGACACTCTCACCCCCAGGGCACCAGGCAGGGGCCACCTGCACCAGTGCAAGCTAGCACTCAGCAAATGTCAGGGGGACACTGCCATCCGGGCCTAGGGGCTGTCACACAGAAGCTCTTCTCAGCCTCTGAGAGAGACACCAATCTCAACACCCAGCATCAGGTGCCCGGGGCTCTCAAGCAAAACAAACCAAGTGCAGTGGTCGAGGTGTTGCACGCCTGAAATCCCGGTACTCGGGAGGCTGAGGCCGGGGGGCTGGCGTGTAAGGCCAGCCAGGACTGTCTTAGGAAAGACAAAAATAATAAACCCTTACTTTCCCCAGCACTCAAGAGTCCAAGGCCAGCCTGTCCTACACAACGAGACCAAGTGTCAAGAAACTACACCTTTAATCTCAGCACTCAGGAGGCAGAGGCAGGTGGAGTTTTGAGTCTGAGGCCAGCCTGGTCTGTGTAGGGGACTCCAGGCCAGCTGGGACTACAGAGACCTTATCTTCTCAAAAGCAAAAACAAACAAGGACATCGGGTTGGGTGGCACAGGTCTGTGACCTCAGCTGTTGAGAAGGATTAGGTAGGAGGATTAAGGTTCAAGGCCAGCCTAGGTAACTCATCAAGATTTACCTCAAATGAAAAAGAAAGTGTGGGGGGGGGGTGTAAAATGGTTCAGCCCGGAACCATGCTTATTGCCAAACCTAACGGTCTGAGCTCAGTCCCCAAGACCCACATGACCTCCACATCCCCCAGCACACGTGTGCACAAAAGCACACGCAATAAATAATAAGTGTGTAAGAAAAGTCTGGAAAGGCTACCCTGCTTTTTAGCAATCAATAAAGGATTCTCAAAAGGACTCAAAGCGCTACACCCCTCAGCCCCCACCCCACGCCATTTTAAAGGTGCCCCTCCCCTCTCCTCCTGTCTGAGCAATACTGAAACCTTTTCTCTTTCCAATCTGAAACCATCTTCCTGCCGCCCACTCTCCTCCTCGGGGTAGGGACCTCTCTCACGGGGGGGGGGGCACCAGGGGCAGCCCCGCACACATCAGCAGCGCCCCACCTGCCCCTGACTGACCGAGGTGGGTACCAGGAGCCCAGAGGGCAGGGTGGCAGGGTGGGAGGGCCAGGCGGAGCCTCCTCACCTCCATACCAGCTCCCCAAAAAGGGAGTCCAAGAGCATGAAGATGAAATCCACGACCAGGAAGCGGTACAGTTCCTGGCCCACAAAGTCCTCCCAGCACGGGGCCTGCAGCTTGGCCACCCTGCGGGCCAGCCAGTGGTAGCCAAGCACACCCAGGACAGCCATCTTGAGGATGAGACTCCTGCACAGGCAGAGGGCGTGAAGGCTGAGGGGAGTGCCAGACCACAGACCTCCAAGGAGCCCTACCCAGCAGCCCACACGCACGCTCTCGCGGCCACACACCTGCAGATGGCCATGTACACCTCCAGCACGGGGGACTCATGCCGCTCCAGCGTGGCCAGACCACGGAACAGGTAGGAGGCACCCAGATTAAGGACACTGACCACCAGGGGCAGGGCCAGCAGCTCCACCCCCTGGCCACCAGCGGTGGGTCTCTGTGACGACAGTGAGAGGGTTTGGTCAGAAAAGTCCCGCCACGCATGGGGACATGTCCCCCGTGGCTGTCCTGCGGGAGCGGGCACCGTAGGAAGGGTCTGGCTGGCTGATGGGAGCGACGTGGCAGGGAGCACCTCCCTCCAAGACACGTAGTGTGTCCTACGCCTCTCAGTCCCAACCGCACAGGAAGCAAGGAGAGGCGTGAGAATCATGGGCCCCGTGGGGTCTCAGCCCCGGGACATCCGCCCCTCGGCTTACCTGGATCATGACCTCTGAGAAGGTAAGAACGGCCACTGCACAGCCCACCGTGGCGCCCAGGCACAACAGCCACCCCAGACCTAGCATGGCGACCTGCCACAGCTGCCCACATGCACTCTGGGGCCGCTCCCGCAGCTGCCATTCAGCCAGCAGCTCCTGCAGGGGGTGGGTGGCGGGTCCCCGTCACTAGACCCCAAGTAGACACACACCCAACAACGCAGGCAGGCCACCCAAGCCCCTCCCTTCCCTAAAGAGGCTCAGGCCAGGCTGGCTTCCGCTGGGAGACAGGGAGTGCAAGATGGCTGCCACCTGAGCTCCCCTCCCCGATCCCTTCCCGCGGCCCAGTCCCTAGGAATCCTGAGTGCCAAGCCTGTGGCCCTCACCCCATTCTATTGGCATGGGTGGCCCCTAGCCAACCAGAGCCGACACCTGTCCCCAGTAGGAATTCCCATGAGTCGCAGCAGAAAGGTAGGGAATTCCCATGAGTCCCCAGGGCCTTGAAGCTTGTTCTAAGGGTCTGTGACCTCAGTGGTTCAGTTTCCTCTTAACTGTAGTGTTAAGTGACTATAAAGGCGCCATCCTTAGCTGTAGCTTACAGATTCAGGACAGGAGGACAAAGTGCCCCAGAAAGGACCCCCGGTCCTTCTCCCAGCCCAAGCCCAAGCACGCCGGAGCCGTTGCTGTAACTCCAGCCCCTGCGCGTCCCCAGCGCTCACGGCTAACACCTCAGGGGCAATTCAACTGAGCGTCAGCCCTGCCTGCCTGGGCACTGTGAGGGAGACCATCCCAGCCCAGAGCCTCAAGGCCAGCTCGCAGACACCACTCCACCACCCTGAGAGGGTCCGGGCTGGGACCACAGGAGCTGAGCGTCGAATGCGGTTTCCAGGGGGCGCATGCGGGCGAGCGGGCGGGCAGCTGCCTACCTTCAGCTGAGTACAGATGCTATCCTGCTGGACCCGGGAGGCCCGCTTCTGAGTCACCTTGTAGTCCCAGGTGCAGAAGACCGTGAGAGCATGGATGCCTTTGGTACTGCCAACCCGGTAGCTCTCCCCGAAGGAGTGGGACATGCTAACATGCAGAAGAGACAGGCAGTGAGCAGTGGGAGGGACGGGTGGAAGACCAGATTGGGGGGGGGGGGGACGGGAGGACAGGTGAGGGGGTGGATGGGAGGACGGGTGGACGGGCGGGCAGGTGAAGGGGTGGACGGGAGGACGGGTGGACGGGCGGGCAGGTGAAGGGGTGGGTGGACAGGCGGGCAGGTGAAGGGGTGGACGGGAGGACGGGTGAAGGAGTGGACGGTGGACGGGTGGGGGGGTGGACAGGAGGACGGGTTGGCGGATGGATGTGTGGATAGGGTGGTAAATGGGTTGGCAGGCAGGTGGGTGGGCAGATGGGCAGACGGACTGACAGGCAGAAGACAGCACTGATAATGGGAATGCGAGGACGGTTAGATGGGTCAGTGGGTGGACAGATGGGCGGGCAGCAGGCTGATGGTTGTGTAGATGAATGAATGAATGGGTGTGGCCGGGAGAATGAATGACAGATATACGGGCAGGAGAAAAGGCATCAAGATAAGAGAGACCAATGGGTGGGTGGGTTGGTGGGCGGGCGGACAGATGGACCGGTGGGAACATGACTAGGTAGACGTGGGCAAGCAGATAGGTGGGCGGGCGGACACGGGGCTGGATAAAGAGAGTGGATGGAGGGGCGGGGCTCGGAATGAGGGTCCCATGCCCAAGGCCATTACCTGTACACCAGAGTGATGCAGGTGATGAAGAAGGCGGCCCCCACCGTGAAGAGGTAGGCCAGTGGCATGTCGTAGGGCAGGCTGCCCAACCTAGGGCTGCACTGGCCACTTTCCCGTGGGGAGCCACACGGCTGGCTCAGCGTGGTGTTGCTGTAGTAGCCGTAGTACATGACGGTGTGTGTGAAGCTGCCCTGTCAGGGGGTAAATAGAGTCAGGGATCGTCCCCCACCCAGCGCAGTAGTTCTCAACTCCCCTGGTGCTTCCATCCTTTAACTCAGTGGCTGTGGTGACCCTAGCCATAAAGTCATTTTGTTGCTATGTCATAACTGCAATTTTGGGATTGTCACCAATCATAATGCAACTATCTGCCATCAGGGACATCTGATACGCAATCCCCACAGGTTGAGACCTGCTGCCCTAGCCTATCCAGAAGGAGGGGAAGCCACCCTTAGGGACACCCACAAATGGTCAGGAGCCCACCAGGGAAACTCGGACAGGACAGGCAACAGGAGGGCACGTCAGGAGTTGAAGACCTCACCCCGCCTGTGAGGAGTTCTAGACCAGAGAAGGCAGGGACCGGGCCTGATGGGTCAGGCGGGAAGGCAGCCTGCACACCCACGAGGAAGGCCAGCAGAGGCAGCAACATGAGCGCGTTGAAAGCCAACAAGGTCTTGAGGAAGAGGAAGTAGGACAGGACGCTGGAGCCAAACTGGCCTCCGATCTGTTTCAGAGCGTAGCGCCACGGCCTGGCTGCATACAGTCCCGAAAGCAACATCAGTCCCAGGCTGTGCAGAGCCTGTAGGAACAGCTGCGGGTCAGTCCCAAAGGCCGGGACACCGGGACAGGTCATGCAGTCCCGGGACAGCGACAGGACAGGGCGTCCCCTGCCCCAGCCAGCCAACGCCCACAGCACACCTCCCGGCCCAGAGCTCGTACCAGAATGCAGGCGTATCTGAGTCTGCGGCAGCAGGAGATGGCCCTACCACGGCCCTGCTGGTCCCTCCGATTTCCCTTGGGACTCCAGCTTTTCTCTCTGGGGACAGAGGCAACGGCTAGACCATAAACGCCTAGACTTCAGAGGGATGTAGCTGCCTCCGGGCTCAGGGAGGCCATCTGAGGTCATGGGGCACTCACCGAAGCCAGCGCTTCTCGCCCAGGCTCAAGGGCATGTTCCTGACCATGTGGTCTCGCTGGGCCATCGGCAGGCCCTGAAGCTCCTTCACCAGCAGACTCCGCTTCTCTGTCCGCAGGAAGAGGGTCCCTCAGTGCCCAGCATCCTTTCTTTATGCATAGCGATCAGGGCCCAATACAGCCCTCCAAGACCCACCAGATGCCTGACAGCCAAAGCCAGACCCCAGCCAGGACACCAGACTGTCCTCCGACAGCCCTCTCCCCCACTGTTCCCCTCCAGCCCAGGAGGCCCCACCCTTCCATCCCCCCAGATCCTGGCACCCTTGAGGCCAGTTGCTTCCCAGCCTGATCAGTCCTTGTAGAGTGGAGGACAGGGTCTGACCTGACCAAGGTACTCTGGGACTCAACATAAAGGGTATGGGGCAGAGGGGGAAGCCTGCTGGAGAGATGGCTCAGAGGTTAAGAGCACTGGCTGCTGCTCCTCCAGAGGACCTGGGTTCAATTCCCAGCACCCACATGGTGGCTCACAAGCATCCGTAATGAGATCTGGCGCCCTCTTCTGGCCTGCAGTGCACACACACATGCATGCACAACACTGTATATATAATAAATAAAACTTCAAAAAGAGTTTCAGGACCCAGCTGCGCTCTCCCTCATCTGAGAGGTCCTAAACCTGTCATTGTAGACGTGCAAAAGCCGCAAGGGAATGGGGACAGATTAGCACTGCCTCCTCATGGCCCCTGTGACGTCAGTGTTAACTGTCAACCTGGCAGAATCTAGAATCACCTGAAGGCAGCCCCCGGGCAATGCCTGTGAGGGTTAATGTTGATTATTTTAACCAACGTGGGAGGAGCGGTCCACTGTATCCATGAGCAAGAATGTTCCCCAAACAGGGGACCCTGGACAATATAAAATGGAGGAGAGGCGCACGCCTTTGATCCCAGCACTCGGGAGGCAGAGGCAGGCGGATCTCTGTGAGTTCGAGGCCAGCCTGGTCTACAGAGTGAGTTCCAGGACAGCCTCCAAAGCCACAGAGAAACCCTGTCTCGAACAACCAAAAAGAAAAATAAATGGAGGACAGGAGCTGAGCCCCGTCACACGGTCACTCTCAACCGCGGACACCCGTGAGCAGCTGCTTCACGCTCCTGCCGCGCTGATGGGCCCGCCACACTGGACCATAGTTTGAGCTGAGAGCCAGAGTAAACCCTGGTTCCCTTATGCTGCTTTTGGCAGAACAGGAAGAGAAACTGTTGCCACACTTCTGGCCCCAGAAAACAGGCAGATGCCACCTTCATCGCTACAACCAGCCCATGAGGGAAGTTCCCTGACTCCGAATTTACACATAAAATGATCTTCAGAGGCAAGAGGATCTGAGTCCAAGGCCAGCCTGAGGAGACTTTGACCCTGCCTTTAGTCACCAAGGGCTGGAGACACAGAGCAGAGGTGAGCGAGCGGGGAACGCTCACAGTTCCCCGGGTCGCATGGACAGAGAGGAAGATGGGGAGAGGGAGAATACCATCAAGGGGGCGGAGTAAACGGAGAAGCCGGGGCGGTCACCCGAGCTCGGAATCCACACTGCTCTAAGGCACTCCACTGCCACCTCAGGAGCCTTGGGTCCGGTCGCCCCCAACCATCAAAGGCTGGAAGCCTCCCCAGCACTTGGGGGTGGGTGTTGGAGGCGGGGAGGGGCATGCTGGCCCTAGAGGAGACGCTTGCAGCTCATGACTGATGCCCAAGGGGCCTCACAGCCAGGCAGCCGTCAGCTGGTCATTCACTCACCATCCTCCTCCAAGACGGTGTGGTCCAGCTCCAGGTCATACTGACGAAGGCTGGGACGGGCAGAGCGGGCCACGCTCCCCAGCAGAGGCCGGCTGCTCCTGTGCCGGAGCCTCACTGTGCGGTTGTAGTACTGGGAGATGATGGCCCCACGGCTGCGACCTTGGGAAACAGACGCGGGTAGTAGAGGGCACGCGACAGTTCTCAGCACCACGCCTCTCTGCCCTTCCCGGGGCTGGGGGACATCCCTTTACCAGACACCCAAGAGCCTTTTTTTGTTTGGTTGCTTGGTTTTTTGGAGCCCTGGCTGTCCTGGAACTTTGTAGACCACGCTGGCCTCAAACTCAAGACATTCACCTGCCTCTGCCTCCTGAGTGCTGGGACTAAAGGTGTATGCTACCGAGGATCCAAGATTAACTCAAAAAATATCAGTAGCTCCCCCCCCATGCAGCGGATAGCAGGATGACAAAGAAAACAGAGAAACCTCACCGTTTACAATAGCCACAAATAACATATCTTGGGGGTAACTCTAACCAAACGAGTGAAAGACCTGTATGACAAGAACTTTGAGTCTTTGTAGAAAGAATTGAAGAAGATATCAGAAAATGGAAATCTCCCATGCTCTTGGTTGGTAGGATCAACATAGTAAAAATGGCAATCTTTACCAAAAGTGACCTACAGATTCAATGCAATGCCCATTAAAATCTTAGCAAAACTCGTCATAGACCTTGAAAGACCAATACTCAACTTCACATGGTAAGACAAAAACCCAGGATAACCAAAACAATCCTGTACAATAAAGGATCATCTGGGGGCATCACCATCCCTGACTTCAAGCTCTACTATAGAGCTATAGTAATAAAAACAGCTTGTTATTGGCATAAAAACAGACAGGTAAAGCCAGGCATTGGCGGCGCACGCCTTTAATACCAGCATTCGGCAGGCAGAGGCAGGTGGATCTCTGTGAGTTCCAGGCCAGCCTGGTCTACAAAGTGAGTTCCAGAACAGCCTCCAAAGCAATACAGAGAAACCCTGTCTCGAAAAAACAAACAAACAAAAAAAAAAGGTAGACCAAGGGAATGGAATTGAAGACCCTGATATGAACCCACACACCTATGAACACCTGAATGACAAAGAAGCCAAATTATAAAATGGAAAAAGAGAGCATCTTCAACAAATGGATGCTGGATAGATCCATATCTATCACCATGTACAAAACTCAAGTCCAAATGGATCAAAGACGTCAATATAAATCCATCCACATTGAAGAGAAAATGGGAAATACATTTGAACGCATAGGACAGAAGACCACTTCCTAAATAGAACACCAGTGGCACAGACACTGAGATCGACAATTAATAAATGGGACCTCCTGACACTGAGGAGCTTTTCTGTAAAGCAAAGAACATAGTCTGATGTGGAAGCCCTGTGTATATGTTAATAAAACACTGTTGGCCAATAGGGAAGCAAGATAGGTGGGACTAGGAGTCCAGGAGGACTCTGGGAAGGAGAAACACAGGGAGTCAAGATGTAACTGACACCAGTGGCACAGACACTGAGATCGACAATTAATAAATGGGACCTCCTGACACTGAGGAGCTTTTCTGTAAAGCAAAGAACATAGTCTGATGTGGAAGCCCTGTGTATATGTTAATAAAACACTGTTGGCCAATAGGGAAGCAAGATAGGTGGGACTAGGAGTCCAGGAGGACTCTGGGAAGGAGAAACACAGGAAGTCAAGATGTAACTGCCATAGGGGTAAGAAGCCCAGAAAGTTCTCCGGTAAGAGAAATATTTAGATTAACAATTATGGGGTAAATACTTAAGTCAGAGCTAGCCAGTAAGAAACAAGCAAGACCAACAGCTTCATAATTAATACAGCGTCTTGTGTGTTATTTGGGGACTGCAACACGGCAGAGCCCAGGCGACTGGTGGTGAAAAACCAAAGCGGCTGACAAGAAAAAGGCTTCTCTCTACTATAGTCAACAAGACAAAATGGCTCCCTACAGAATGGGAAAAGATCTTCACCAACCCCAGATCTGACAAAGAGCTGATCTCTAAAATATACAAAGAAACTAGACATTGCGGGGGGGGGCCAGCTGGAGAGATGGCTCAGGGGTTAGGAGCACTGGCTGGAGGACCCAGGTTCAATTCCCAGCACCCAGATGGCAGCTCACAACTGTCTGTGACTCCTATTCCAGGGGATCTGACACCCTTACACTCAGGCATACATGCGGACAAAACACCAGAATACAAGAAACGCAAATAAATAAATTAAAAAAAAGAAACTAGACATCAAAAGACCAAATAATCCAATTAAAAATGGGGTACAGATGTAAACAGAGAAATCTCAACAGAGGAAAGACACTTAAGAAAGGGCTCAGCATCCTTAGTCATCGGGGAAATGCAAATCAAAACAACTCTGAGATATGATCTTTCACCTGTCAGAATGGCCAAGACCAAAAACACTGATGGCAGCTTATGGTGAGGATGTGGAACAGGGGGAGCACTCCTCTACTGCTGGTGGGAGTGCAAACGTGTGCAGCCACTTTGGAAATCAATATGACAGTTTCTCAGAAAATTAGGACTCAATCTATCTCAAGACCCAGCTATACCAATCTTGGTCATATACACAAAGGATTCAGACTCACACCATACCTGCTCAACAATATTCACAGCAGTATTACTTGCAAGCCAGAACCTGGGAACAACCTAGATGCCCCTCAACCGAAGAATGGATAAGGAAAATGTAGTACATTTACACAGTGGAGTACTACTCTGAGGTTAAAAAAAAAATGACATCTTGAAATTTGCAGGCAAATGTATGGAACTAGAGAACACCACCCTGAGTGAGGTAACCTAGACCCAGAAAGAAAATATAATGTGCTCACTCCTAAGTGGGTATCAGCCATAAAACCAAGGACAGCTACCCTACAGGCCACAACTGCAGAGAACCTAGGTAACAAAGAGGACCCTAAGAGAGACATACGCGGATTCGCCGAGGAGGAAACAAGACAAGGTCTCCTGAGTAAAGGGGGCACAGGGGGGGCAGGAGGAGGGTGGAAGGGGAGAGGGGAGGAAAGGAGTAGCTCAATAAAAAAAACTACTGAGGATAAAAAAGGCGTGTGCTACCACTGTGCAGCCCCACCAGCCTGCTTTTACCCGTGACAAATGCTATCATGTCTAGAATCCAGCCACGGGAGGCGAGTGTGACACGGGACGGTGAGTGTGACACTGGAGGGCGAGTGTGGCACGAGGGCGAGTGTGGCACGGGGGCGAGTGTGGCACGGGGGGGGGGGGCGGGTGTGACACGGGAGGCTGGGCGCCCAGAGGAACCGACTCTCTGGGTTCAGACACCAGGGCTGGGGGCGGAGCCAGGGCGGGGGCGGGGCCCCACTCACCAATGGTGCGACTGGGCATGCTGGCCAGGATGCGGAGCGTGGCCGAGCTGTGGACCTGGGCACCTTCAGGCCTTGGGAGGGTCTGGTGACCTCTGCCTAGGAAGGATGGAGACGCTGCCACGGTCTCACCCACCCCACCCGCCCCGCCCCAGGCCTACCACACGCAAGGGCAGGTGTCCCCAGGTCCCGCCCACACCGGGTCAGTGTGCAGGCCTCGGCTCACCTGGGACCAAGGGCAGCAGCTCCAGCCCCTCCTCGGCCACCCGGAGGCTCTGCTCTTGAATGAGTTGGTGGAAGGAGTCATGCACCTCGCTCTCCTCATAGGGGCTGGGCTCCAGGCTACCAGGGAAGAGTGAGTGTGGGAAGCCATGCTCCTGCCCCGCCCCACTTCCAGAAGGCTTCAGGAGGAGAGACACCCCAGACCAGCATCAGGGTACTTACTCTCCGTCCCCTGTGGGCTCTGGGACATCCAGGACTAAAGCCAGGGGCTGAGCCATGGCTGGGGTACACCCTCGGCCGGTCTCAGACCTACAGGAGCTCGGCTAGAGACTAGATGCGGCCTTCGGACCCCACACGGCCCAACTGTGGAGACAAAACCAGCTTCCAGTGCCCGGCACCCACTCTCTGGGGGCGCACACATTCTCTCTCTCTCTCTGTCTCTCTCTGTCTCTCTGTCTCTTCTCTGTCTCTGTCTCTGTCTCTCTCTCTCTCTCCAGGAATCTCCACCCTTCCCCCATCCACAGCCAAACACATAGCTAAATGAGTGGCCCCGAATAACATTCTCACCAGGAACCGGCTGTGGAGGAGGAAAGAAAACAGGAAGGAAGGGTGAGGCCGCAACTCCCCATCGGTTTCCTAGATGTCACTAGTCCTGGGAAAATGGGAGAGAGGTCTGTGAACACTACGCCTGCAGGTGCGCTCACGGGCGGGCGTGGCCCTTAGGGCTTCAAACTCTTAGAGAAGGGGCTGGGAGGTTCAGAGAGGACTTCCCTGTGCCCGCCCTATGACCCCAAAGGGTTTCCTGTAGCAGGAAGCGCTGCCCGGCCCCCGCAGAGCCCGGCCCCCGGCGCCGCCCAGGCCGCCTCCACCCCCCGCGCTCGGGTCCGGGTTCTCCGAGGTGCTCGTGTGCTCGGGAGACTGACTCCCTGCACTCCCGACGCCGCTTAAGGCTGGAGGAGGGAGCGGAGCCGACAGTAGCTCGCTTTGTCCAGCTCTGTCACCCGGCACAACGGCACCCGGAGCTCTCTAAGGGGCTCATTGTCCTCCTGGCCGGAGGCCAGGCGCGGCGCAAAGAGCAACCAAACTCCTGACTCCTGCAGGACTGCGCCCCCGGCCCCAGAAGGCAGGCCCCGCCCAGTCGGCAAACCCTCCCCGTCCTCACCTGCGGAGCCCGGAGTTTTCGGGGAGCTCCCCCGACGGCCGAGGGTCCCCACGGAACCCCATGCGCGCCAGGCACGCCCCCGCCCGCGCTGCCGCAGGACACGGCAGGGCGAGGCCGGCCCGGAGCCAGCCGAGGTGGCACCGCCCGAATGGAAAGCAGCCAGGCGAGGCGGTGCCTTCCCAGTTTTAGGGTGCCCCCCGACCACAGTGTTTATCCGGCTCGGGGCCCCAGGCCGCCTCACACCTCTTCCTCCCCCCCTTCCCCAGGAAGCCGGGAGTGCTCTGAGGCTGCGGGCCGGGCCTCGGCATCTGCTGGGGCCGCAGGTCTCCAGGGCCGCCCGGGGCAGCCAGGTGCGCGCAGTTCCGGGACGGGACGCACCATCCCGCGCCCTGAGCCAGGCCGGGAGAGCCAGCCCGGGAGCCGCACTTCCCAGGAACGCGCACCCCAGGTGTCGGCCCCCTGGCGTGAGCAGCCGCCCCCCACAACCGATCTGCGACCCAGCACCCGCGTCCAGGCGCCCAGCTGGAGCGGAAGAGCCCGGCTCCCCCAAGAGGCTCACCTGTGCGCGTCCCCGCCGCGCGGAACCGCAGCGTCGGCAGAAGTCATTGACGGACAGTAATCAAGGTCCGGGGGGCAACCTTTGATGGTTCCCACACTGGCAGCTGGAGGGAGCCCCCACAACCCGCCCACGTGGCAGCGGGCCCGGCCGGTCACGTGAGCCGATCCCGCCCGCGGGTTGGCCCAGACGATCCAAAACAGTGCCCTATGCCCGCCGGCTTCCGACTCCACCCCTGCATTCCGCCCTGACGTCTGAACAAAGTGGGCTCGGCCGAGTATTTGGAAGTCTGCAGCCCCTGGGTGAAGTCCCTAGTTTTCGAAGGACTCGGTTTCTCCAAGTTTCTAAACGGGACGGTATTTCCAAGCCCACTCACGTCCCGAGGTTACTAAGTACCAGTTCGCAGCCTCTCCACGAGGAACTGGGTAAACACCCCGCTCCCAGACTCATTTCACGGCTCCCCATCTGAGGAATGGGGTTACCGCCTCTTCCTCTGCCCGGGGGCGTGGTGTCTGTTTCTGAAGCTAGAGTTCAAGCCGCTTCCGGCACCCACTGTCCCAAACGCTGTGCCAATTTGCCTGGTTTTTCCGTGGCCGAGGGACATAGGCGATGGCCTTTCTGTCTCACAGATGAGGACACCGAGGCTGGGAAAGTCTCACCAGCCTCCAGGTGTCGCCAGCTGGAGCAGGGGACTTGGCCACCAGAATGCTCCGGGGAGCCCCTTCCCCCCCATGAGACGGACAGGATGACCATGAGGGAGAAGGAAGTGACCCGGACAAGCGATCCCCGCCCCCACGAAGGAAGCGCGTGGGGTGCAGCGATGTGGTGAAACCCGAGATAGCAGGGTCCAGTTGAGCTGGGGGAGCGGAGGGGACAAGTGACATTCTTCGAAGCTGTCCCTGAGGGGCTCCCGGCCCGCAGACACAGCCCCTCCTCAGCTCCCCTTGCATTTACACTGAATTTTGCACGACCTCCGTCCCAACTTGAAAGTCATTTCCTGGGGAGCCTTCCTGCGTGATCTCTGTTGAAATGCAGGGACGCAGGGAGGCTCAGGGAATCCAGGGCTGAGACAGCAAGGCCTTCACAAAAGAGGCTAAGCAGGGAGGAGAGGCTAGGGCTCCCAGAACTGGGAACTGTCCAAGACGACTCCTAAAGGTCTAGCCGGTGAGCGGCCGCACAGAGTCGCTTCCTAAGCACTTAGGCTGGGCTCGGCGCCAGGACACACAATAGGGAGGGAGGGAGGGAGGGAGGGAGGGAGGGAGGGAGGGAGGGAGGGAGGGAGGGCCGTGCCTGCGATGAGAGCGGGAAGTTCAGAAATAGCGCACCAGCCAGCAGTCCTGGTGCGCGCCTTTAACCCCAGTTCAAGGCCCGCCTGGTGTGCAGAGCGAGTCCCAGGCCAGCCAGAGCCTCTCGCACTGCACTGAGAGGCCCGCCTTGAAATAACGAAAAGAGAAGAAGAAGAAGAAGAAGAAGAAGAAGAAGAAGAAGAAGAAGAAGAAGAAGAAGAAGAAGAAGAAGAAGAAGAAGAAGAAAAGATGCCAGCGTTTTGGAGAGCCAGCAGCTGGGTGTTCGGGGACCCTCCACGCGTCACTATCACTCTCTCCGGGGCGACTGCGGAGGACAGATAACAAACGGGTTCCTCTGCACCGAGACAGGCCTAACGACGAGCGGGCGTGCGGGCGCGGGAGCAGGTGGGCCTGGTGGGCGCCCACCGCGCGCGCTTCTCACCTGCGCCCCCCCCCGTCCGGTGCAGGGCGAGCGGGCAGAGGCAGAGAAAACTGCGGGGAAGGCGGGGGTGGGTGAAGGGGAGGAGACGCTGCACAACCCCAGTCCCGTCCCGTTCCTGTCACGTGACCCCGCCCCACTCCTCACTGCCCCGTCTGCTGGTCGCACGAGCCCAAGGGAGCCCGAGGGAGCTTCTTGGGGGGAGGAAGCATGGTCCCTCGCCCCTTGATGAGCTGCCTGCTGGGTGGAGCGAAGGACGGTGAGGGAGCAAAGCGTTGAGGCCAAGGGGCTGGGCCAAGGCCGTGGCTTCCTCTGGGGTGGTTTGGGGGTTCCTCCTTCTCTCACGGTTGGGGATGTAGCCACGTCCCCTACTCTGGGTCCCTTAAGACCAAAGCGTACCCAGGCTGGACAAAGGAACACACAGAATGGGGCCCTAGCACATCCAAAGCTGGGGTGTTGCAGGATCGGGATTCTAGGAGCTGTCGGGGGTTCAGAACAGGGGTGGCGTCCCCAAAATTCAGTGCTCACATGGAAAGGAGTGGGGCATTGTGTTGTTACAAAGCTTAAGGTTTGTGACAGCCAGCCTTCTCTCTCTCTCTCTCTCTCTCTCTCTCTCTCTCTCTCTCTCTCTCTCTCTCTCTCTCTCTCTCTCTCTCTCTCTCTCTCTCATTTCCTGGTGGCCCTTCACCTCCTTTAGCCAGCTGGGAGGCCTAGGCCTTGGTCGGAGGTTCAGTGCAGCGCGGGACAGACTTCTTTTCTCTTGTGGACATGGCAGGGCCAAGGCGAAGCTCACCCCCCGGCGCCCCTGGTTCCTCCTGAGAGCAAGGATCGATCCCGCTTGTCTGCCCCGCGCGCCCGCCGGGATGTCTCGCCAGTGGTCGGTGCCATCAGGACCGGCCCCCCGACGGCCTGACCCGCAGGCGGCGGCGGAGGAGCTGTGGGAGGAAGAAGTGGAGCGGCTGCGCGCCTCCCGGGAGCCGGTACGGATGCTGCCCTACCCCATGGCGGACAAGCGCTTCATCCGGTAGGTGGTGCGGCTCGGCCCGCTGGGCGAGCCGCGGTGGGGGCGGGGGCGGCGCCCGAGGATGCACCTGTAGGGTGGATGACTCAGGGGCGCCCCCCCCCGTCACCACGCTCCTGCAGGGAACTGAGGGACCCCGAGGGGGTGAGGCCCTCCTTCTGGCAGCGGTGGCATCGCAGAGGGAAGTTGGCGCGACAGCACCTGAGGGAAGCAGCCCAGAGGCTGGCCCACGGCTTCGGGCTCTGGGAGGGAGCGCTCTACGAGATTGGGGGTAGGATCCCACGCCGGCCCTCCCTTCCCACCTCCCCAGTCAGCCCCTCCATCCTTGTACACCCCTCGGATTGCCCCCCATGCGCCCCCTTGGTGTGTGACAGCCCTCTGAGGGCTGCTGGAGATTCTGTGTGAATCAGCTCCGATATCGCGGGTCCCCACACACACATACCACACAGGCCTCTTCGGGACCGGGATCCAGTCCTATTTCACTTTCCTTCGCTTCCTGCTGCTGCTCAACCTGCTGACGCTACTGATGACGGCCAGCTTTGTCCTGCTGCCCCTGGTCTGGCTCCGCCACCCGGAGCCAGGCCCTGCCCTGAAACTAAGTGAGTACTCGAATTGCCCTGACCCTGTGCACCTCAGCCTGGGTATGCTGCAAGGGCTAGCCTTGAACTCGGACACTACCACACAACCTCGGACAGCTTCGGTGTTAGGGTAGACGCAATGGACTGGAAGGTTGAGGGTCACGTGTGTCTTGGGGACCCTGCCTTGTTGGTCCTCTCTTTCCACTCAGCAGGCCTCCAGTGCTCCGGCAGCCACCTGCCCCAGAGTGGCATTCCAAGGTTCCACAACCCACTTTGGAATATTCTGACTGGCAGGGTAAGTGGGGTCTCTACAGGCTACGCTCCGGAGCATCTGGGCAACTCCAATCTGAATGTTGGCTTTGCTTTGTTTTATTTGTTTTTTGAGACAAGGTACCTCTGTGTAGCTTTGGAGGCTGTCCTGGAACTTGCTCAGTAGACCAGGCTGGCCTCGAAACTCACAGAGATCCGCCTGCCTCTGCCTCCCGAGTGCTGGGATTAAAGGCGTGCGCCACCACCCACTGGCTGACATTTTGGCTTTTAAGGGAAAGTCTTACACAGGCCAGTCAGGTCAGATGTAGGGACATAGGGACATGTGCTCATGAGTCATAGAACCCAGCTTGGAACAAGAGTTAATGGGGAAAGTGTCCAGGCCTCTCAGACACACACACACACACACACACACACTCCAATTCCTGGATGCCACTGAGCCAGTATCCTAAATCCTGGACCCATATCTGTACGACCTTAGGCAAGTCACCTAACTTCTTCTGGTGGCTGTGAGACATGGATATTTTACGTCAGGCACAGTGGTGGCAACACTCAGGAGGCTGAGTCAGGAGGATCACAAGAAGTTCAAGGCCAGCTCGGGACATGTAGGGAGATCTTGTCCTTCCTGGCAGGACAAGCACTTACGCCGGGGTCCAGCACTCCACCTGCATTCACATGCCCTCATTGTGTCCCCAGGCCTTCAACAACACCTACCTCTTCTACGGTGCCTACCGGGCAGGGCCAGAGCGCCCCTCGGCATACAGCATCCGCCTGGCCTACCTCCTCAGCCCAGTGGCCTGCCTGCTCCTCTGCTTCTGCGGAACACTGCGGCGGTGAGGGGAGACCCCGCCTCGCCCACAGGCCTCCACCCTTGGCCATCCTTCATCAGCTGGCAGATAGGTCCCTGTGCAATGAGGCTCACCCTGGCCCCCAGCCTGCCTCCCATACCATGAGGCGGGTACCCAGGAGCGGGAGGGAGTCCCCACCCCAACTTTCTGAGGCCAGGGTCCCTGCCAAGCCACTGGCGAGGGTGGAGAGTGGAGGAACCCCCCAGCAATCCTTCTCCCTCCCCCAGGATGGTGGAGGGGTTGCCACAGCAGCCGCGCCTGGGCCAGGGCTACAGGGCGCCCCTTAGCACCAAAGTCTTCTCCTCCTGGGACTTCTGCATCCGGGTGTGGGAAGCTGCCACCATCAAGAAACATGGGATCAGCAATGAACTGAAGGTGTGTGGGAGGCAGTGTGTGTGTGTGTGTATATCTGCGTGAGTGTGTCTGTGTGTGTATGTGCTTGTGTGTATACGTGTGAGTTTGTGTATGTGTGTATGCATGTGAGTTTGTGTGTGTGTTTATGCATGTGAGTTAGTGTGTGTATGTGTGTGTCTGTGTGTGCATGTGTGTGTATCTGTGTGTCTGTCTGTGTATGTGTGCATGCATGTGTGTGTATCTGTATGTCTGTGTGTGTCTGTATGTGTACATGCATGCGTGTGTGTGTGTGTGTGTGTGTGTGTGTGTGTGTGTGTGTGTGTCGTGATGACAGTGGTGGATGAGGGGCTGTGTGAGTGTGAACAGGAGTGACCAGATGACAGTGTGAGCCAGCTGTGTATGAGAAAGTGCAAATGTTGTAAGAATGTGTGAGCCAGGCCGAGTAGCAAGCGTCTTTGATCCCTGCACTCGGGAGATGGAGGCAGGTGCATCACTGTGAGTTCAAGGCCAGCCTGAACTACATAGCAAGATCCAGGTCAGCCAGGGATACATAGTGAGACCCTGTCACAAAATAAACATGTAAATGTGTCTAGGTATGATGTGTGTGTCTGTGATCCTAGCACTCAGGAGGCTGAGGCAGGAGGATTGCCATTAGTTTGTGACTAATC